CTTGGCTTTTTTTTTCCTCTCTCCTCTGTGTCTGGTGGGGATTAGGGCGCAAAATTTAAGGGGATGCCAAAAGCTCAGTCATCAAGATAATTACTCAAAGAAACCAAAATTAATGCAAAAAACGTGATGATCAAAACATCTATTTTTTAACATGTAAAAGATAAGATCCGACCCTGCACTTGCATGACTCGCCTCACCCCGATCCGAGTCCTGGGGGGTCCTGTCTTTATGTAAAAATGCTGGTATTTTGTTCATCGTGGATTTATTTTTTCCTACTAATTCTGATATTTAAAAACATTGCCTTAGAATATTAGTTATCTTGATACGAGTTTTTGCATCTGTCTCTTCTCCTCCGGGGAAACAGGCACGCAAGACCGGAAGGGGGGCGGGCTCCCTCCCCGCCGCGGGCGCTGACCTCCGCTTATCGCCGGCGGCAGCAGCTAATTAAGTCCCCGCCCCCGGCGACCTTTCCCTGCGCTCCGGCCGTGCCCGCCCCTCCATCCCGGCAACGCGGGTGGGGCAGGGCCCGGACGTCACCGAACCCCGAGCCCCGCACCGCCGCCTACGTCACAGACGAGCCGCGCGGCGTCACCGCATTCCTCCCGCGACGTCAGCGCTCAGAACCCGGGGCCAGCGCACCGGCGCAGCAACCAGGCCGAAGCGAGCGATCTCGCCTGTCTCGCCCTTTATATTTGGAAAGGCGTTCCAAGTACGCAGAAGCGAACTACCACTCCCAGCGGGCCTTGCGTGCTGCGCGTGCGCACGGCCTCCAGCTGGAGAGCGCGGCAATCCTTTGGCGTAGATTGACGTCCCTTTGGTCGAACCAGAAGGCAGGTTGTACAGCCGCAAACCAATCCCGGCCTCACGGACCCCACCCCTTTATCCTGAGCCCGCGGCTTCCTTGAGGGAGTGACAGGCTCCGCAGCCTTTGAGGGCTCAGTTTCCTTTGATGGACATTTATCCCGATGAATCAGAGCGCCAGGAAGTCGAGAGGGAGTTGAAAAGCGTGCCTTGGGGCCAATAGCTTAGCGGCAGGGCCTGGCGCCGTCCAATCACTTCTCCCGGCGCCGCCAATCACCCGGGACCCCGCCCCCGGCCCGTGACGTAAGTAGGGTGGGTAGCAACAGTTGCCCCGGTGAGGGAAACGGAGGCGCCATAGCCACGGTAGTCGTGGCGACCAAGCAACCCGGCAACGCGAGTCAACAACAACAACCGCCCGGCCGACCCCCGCCCCCAACCCCTGGCGCGGCCTGGGGACCCCGGCACGTTCCGTCCCCCTCCCCACATCGCCTCCGAGAGCCGTGGAAAGCCCTTCCGCGGACAGAAGTGCGGAAAAGCCGAGGTAACGCGGGCCGCCCCGGGACGGCGGGGCGGGCCGGGGAGGGCGGTGGGGCGCGGCCGGCGGTGTTGCTGTGATCACAGTCCGGGGGGAAGGGGCGGGCGGTCAAAATGGCGGCGGCGACTGCCGGGGCCGTGGGGGAGGGGGCCGGGGCCCGGCTGGGGCGACACCACCCGCCCCCGGGCCCTGCGGTCCGGCCCCCGCGAGGGGCGGGCGCTCGCAGGCCGGCGGCGAGTGGAGGTCGGCCGGCCCGGGCGGGGGGCTTTTATACGCCGGGAGGTGCTGAGGGGCGGGCCCTGTGAGGCCGGGCCAATGGGAGCGAGGGAGGGGCGGGGCGGGGCCGCGGCGGGGGCGGGGCCACCCTGGGCCCGGGGCGCAGGTGGGCGGCTGCGGGCTGGGCCTCCCCGGCCGGTCCGATCCCCGAAGCGGCGGCCGCCCCCCGGACTCAGCGCCCGCCGCATCCGAGGCCTCGGTTTTCCATCCCGCACAGTGGGGAGAAGCACTGCTCTCCCCGCCTCCTGCATGTCGGCGACCCCGGATTGCTTGCAGGCTCCCCCTGAACCCCGGCCCGCGTGCGGTTTCCGAGTGTGGTTTGTAGGTTAGCTCTCAGCCGGTCTTGGTCGCAGCCCTGCCGGCGGCGCCTGATCGGCCTCCTCCGCTCTGAGAGGAGGGGAGGGAGCCAGTTTGGTGGCGCCGTGGGCCCGGAGCGTGGCCTTAGCCCGCAGGACTTGGTTTGCAGAGAGGGAGGAGCGATCTTGAGGGACTGAGTTGGAGGAAGAGAAACTTGCTCGCTTCTGCGCCGGCTGCTCCCGCCCATCGGGCGTTGTCCCGGGCGGCGGGCTTGTTCCTGGAGACGGGACGGTCCCTGACTGTCCCTCCCACCAACATCATCTGCCTCTTGGCGTAAGGGGAGCGAATGGCGCCTGAGGAAGTCGCTCAGATTTGTTAAGCTGCTTCTCTTGGCCAGACACATGTTTTTGTGTCCTGTCCATCAAGTTGGTGTCAACTGGGTCACGTGGCACTGAGGAGGTACCAGCCTCCAGGGCCACGTGGGCAGGAGCAGGACGCCGAGGTCAGAGGGAAGGGGAAGTGCTTAGAGGAGAGTCCAGCGACTGCTTTGCCGGGTGACAAGATCTGCCGCCTCGGGGAAGGATTTTTTTAAACAGCGGGTCCGGCTAAGTCCACTTTGTGCCTTCTCCGCCCTGCCCTGGGAGTTTGGCATCTGCAGCGCCGGGGGCGGGGTGCAACCTGCATTCGTTTCTTTTTAAGTCCATCAATAAACTTCCAGGAGGCCGGCCAGGTGACTCAGCGGTTAAGTTCGCAGGTTCCGCTTTGGCGGCCCGGGTTCGCCTGGTCGGATCCCGGGTGTGGACATGGCACTGCTTATCAAGCCATGCTGTGGCAGGCATCCCACTACAAGATAGAGAAAGATGGGCACGGATGTTAGCTCAGGGCCAGTCTTCCTCAGCAAAAAGAGGAGGATTGGCAGCAGATGTTAGTTCAGGGCTGATCTTCCTCGAAAAAGAAAAAATAATAAAAATAAAAAGAAATTTAAAAAGAAAACTTCCAGGAGAAGGACTGTTTAAGGCTCTCCTGAGGCTTTCCCCCAAGAATTTGAGATAAGGTGGGGGGCGGCGGGTCCTTGCTTCTCCAGGGACTTTCCCTAGGCCAGATGCTCTTGGGGAGGTGGCAGGGTCCCTTGAAAGTCAGAGAAGGTAGAGATTAATTTTCAGTAAGAATCTAGAAATACCAAGTTGCTAGAAAGATCACCACCACCTGTCTGGTGAACTTTGAGCAGAAAGTGATGTCACGGATGATCCATTCTTGTTGACTGCTCCCCCCCATAACTTTTACATTTGAAGAGCCCAAGCCCAGAGGGGTCATTGATAGGGTGGGGTTGGGGTGGCACTGGCTTGGTTTGCTTGTCCTTGACAAGCATCTGCTTCCTAGCTATGTGCTCTTGGGCAAGTTACTTAACTTCTCTGAACCTCGGTTTCCTGTTGTCTAAACTAGGAGTGGTGATCACTGGTGATGATTGTAATCTCAGGTTACTGTGCTGTGCATCGCATAAAAGAACACAAGCTGAGCATCACATACATAGTAATTGTTCACACTCTGTTAGCTGCCGCTCTTATGATGATGATTGGTGCTTCCTGTGTAGCCCTCAGAATTACACCACTCGTGTTTATGTTTATCATCTTGTATTGGGCGAGAGCCTAGTGGCTTTAAAGGTTGGCTCTCTTGCTGGGCTGCGGGGGCTGATGACAGGGGTCCTCGGAAGCGGGGTACCAGGCCTCCTGTTTCTAGTGGGAAAGTGTCCCTTCTCTTGCTCTGGAGTGGCTTTCCTTTGGCTTTAGGAGAGTAGCTAGAAAAAAAAAAATCGTCCCTGGACTGGCATCCAGACTCAGGAGGCAGCTGGGGGAGCCAGAGCCATGGGTGTCTTGGAAAAAGTGGGGATCTGGGGAAAGTGTCTCTGGACCTGAGGCCTTCACCCTCCCCTCCTGCCACATGTCCTGGCATCTCGGGCCAGGGACAGCATGGGCCAGGCAGACCTAGGGACATAGCCTGCAGATAGCAGCTGCACAGTGCACAGGCTTCCTGGGCTGGGGCCCGTCCTGGCCTCGGAGGCCTCGCCTGCCCCTGCAGAACAGCCCGCTATCGGCAGGAGGCAGTGGCTTTTTCTCCAGGTCTCACCAATCGGCAGATTTCAACTGGCCTCTGATGCTGGCTGGCAGTGTGTCCTGGCCCATGGACACTCATTTGACGGTAAAAGTCCAGCCCCCTCTGTGTGCCCATCAGGGTTCTAGGAGTAGGGATGGCGTGTGGCCAGGCAGGCCAGGTCTCTGCCCCTGGGGAGCTCACCTTTCTGGTCACCGAGGGAAGAGGAACTATGAAAAGAAACAAACAGGGAAATACAGAGCCAGGAAGAAAATACAACAGGAGTTTGTGCTCCACAGTCCTTGACGGGGGTACTTGAGACCCAAGAAGTTGACATTATGAGCTAAGACCTCAGTGATAAGAAGGAGCCGGCAGTGGAGGATGGGGGTGGAGGCGAGGAGAGCCTGCCAGTAGGGGAAGAGCTGGTGCAAAGGTCCTAAGGCAGAAGGGGGCCTGGGGCATTCTAGGAACGAGAGCCTGTGTGGCTGGAACATCCAGAGGGAGAAAGACAGGGACTGGAGGGGCCAGATCCCGCAGGGCCCTGTAGGTCATGGGGAGGGCTCTGGATTTTATTTATTTTCCGTATGAGGAGCCTTGGAGCCTTCTGAATAGAGGGGTGACAAGATAGGATTTGTGTTTTCAAAAGATCTTACAGACTGTAGAGGCAAGAGTGAAGCCAGGAGCCAGCGATGAGCCTGTTGCCTAGGTCCGGGCAGCTTGGACTAGCCCGGTGTTGATGGAGATGCAGAGAAGTGCTCAGCCTTAGGATCTGTTCTGGAGGCCTTATTGACAAGTCTTAAAAGCCAGCTGGAGGGGCCAGCTCCGTGGCCGAGTGGTTAAGTTCACGAGCTCCGCTGTGGCGGCCCAGGGTTCGGATCCTGGGCACGGACATGGCACCGCTCGTCAGGCCACGTTGAGGCGGGGTCCCACATCCCACAACTAGAAAGACCTGCAACTAAGATATACAACTGTGTTCGGGGGGGGGGGTTTGGGGAGATAAAGCAGAAAAAAAAAAAAAAGATTGGCAACAGTTGTTAGCCCAGGTGCCAATCTTTAAAAAAAAACACACACACACACAAAACCCAGCTGGATATAGAGGATGAGGGAAACTTCCAAAACAGAGGTTGGCACACCACGCTGCCACCTATTTTTGTATGGCTCATGAGCTAAGAATGACTTCTACATTTTTAAATGATTGGGGAAAAAAATCAAAAGAAAGATGTTTTGTGATGTGAACGTGTCATGACGTGTGAAAATTATATGAAATTAAAGTCTCAGTGTCTAGAAATAAAGTCTTATTGGCACACAGCTATGCTCACTTGTTTACCTATCATCCATGGCTGCTTTCACACTGCAGTGGCAGAGTTGGGTAGTGGCACTAGAGACCATCTGCCACAAAGCCAAAACCACTCACTGACTGGCTGTTTACAGATGTTTGCCAGCCCCTTATCTAAAGAATTGATTCAAACATTCTCCAAAAACAGTTGTTGGCTTTGAAGATAGGTGCAGCCATTGGTGCTTTTCTTGGCAGTTTCATTGCCGAGGAACAGATTTGCTGAGCGATTCCCTCGTTTCCTGTACCCTGCTCTATAAAGAAAGGGGTCTTATGCTTAGACAGATGAGGAACGTGTCATGCTGTATGCATATATGTGACTTATTCCTCTCTAGGGGACACCCTACAGAACTCTGTTTAACCTGTCATCCACAAATGGGAAAATAAAAAGTTGCCTGTCAAATAATTATGGGAAACCTGGCATCCCGTATCACCCTTCCTGGAGAGTGACAGCGAGAATGCTGAGAAGCCTCCAGTAGAGAAGTCGGGGTGACTGCTCATTGATCTCCCACTTCCCCTTTTTGGGCTCAGCCTTCCAGCCCTCATCATCGCCTTCCCCCCACCCTAGATTGGGAGGGATGAGGCCTGTGGGCTTTGCACCTTTAAAAGGAGACAGCACCAGCGAGTGTGGAGCTTTTAAAGCCCCTTCCTGGTGGGAGGAGCTACAAGAGGCCAGCTTTCCGAGGGCCAAGAAAGCCCAGGCTGGGGTTTCTCAGAGAGTGCCCCCAGGACCACCTGCCTAGTTCAAACATCAGACTCCAGGGCCATCCCAAAAGACTCTGGGCAGCGGGGGCCAGGCACCTGCATTTAACCAGCTCCCCAAGTGAGGCTGATGAAAAGAATCAGATTCCCCCATCCTTGCCTCCTTCCAAGAGCTCACGGGTCCTGTCTGACTCCTTCCCCGTCCCTCCCCACCTGGCACGGATGTCTGTTGAATGAATAATAACAATAGCAGCTGCCACTTCTTAGTGCTTACTGGGTGCTGGGCTGATCTCGGCGCATCTTGACAACAGCCCTCCGAATCGGGTGCTCTCATCATGCCCAGGTGACAGGTGGGGAAACTGAGGCCCAGAGGAAGGTTAGGAATGTGTTCATGAATTAAGAGACAGGCCAGGGTTCATGTCAAGGTGGGTCTGACACCAGGCAGGCAGGCGCTGATTGGCTGCAGTGACTTGAGCACCGGACCTGGGCCAGAGTTTGGACCCACTAGTGTGAGGCGGCCCCTCTAATGCTGGCAGGGAGTAGTTTGAGGAGGGCAGGCGCTGGAGAAGGGTATTCTCTGTGTGTGCGTGGCAGGCGGCAGATCCCCTGCTGCCTGAGTCCTGGTGGGGCCAGCTGCCCTGCAGCTCCCGTGCTGCCTGAGTCCCAGTGGGACCAGCCGCCCTCTGCCTTGTGCCCTGCCTGGTGGGAAAGCCCAGGATGTTCCCAGGATCTGGGCCAGGCCCATGCCACCTGCCACTGCCCTGCTTGCCCCGCTCCCCATAACGACCTGGCCTGGCAGGGAAGGCAGCCCGTGGAGCCCGTGGCTCCTCCCGCCCACCTGCCCAGGCTGCCAAGCACCCAGGGTGCAGACAGCAGCTTGCTTTCCTCTATACCCAGCAGCCCGAAGCCCTGGGCCCTGGGCGGGAGGCATGGTCCTGGGTTCAGCCTTGCTACACGGCCTCCCTGGGCGATGCTGGGAGCCAGGCTGTTTCCCAAGGGCTCACCCTGTGCCCTGCACTCATCAAGCACGGCCCTTGGAGATGCCAGACTGGAGCCCTCAGCAGCCCTGCCTCGTGGGCCGCTGTCCTCCCATGTCACAGACCACGGCGGGGCCTCCCTCCGAGCAAACAGCCCAGAGGTGGCCAAGTTCCAGTCGTGCATTGGCCCGTCCAGGGCCTGTTCCTCACCTGCCTCGCCCCCTACTGACTGGGACACCTCTTGGATTTGGCCTCAAAGGGCAGAACCCGGACCCCCTGGGAGGGAGGTCCAGGGGGGCGTGAGGAATGTGGGCACCACTGTGCTGTACGGCCTGAGGGCTCCCTCGGGCTGCTGGGGGGCTGCCCGCTCCCCAGTTCTGCTGCTCCAGCCAGGGCCTTGGGCAAGCGCGTGGGGCTCAGGTGCCCTCGTCTGAAGAACGGGGAGGATGCCGTCTGCTGACCGCGAGAAATAGGTGAGCCCTGAGCCTGGCTCCCTGCGCAGGCAGGGGCGGAGAGCACAGATCTGGGGGCAGGAGACCCGGGCTCAAATCCGCCCCCCGCGGGGCGGTGCACCCTCGGGCCATGCGCCCTGCGCCTCGGTTGCTCCTCCGTGCAGTGGGCCCTCCCTGCAGCTGCTGGGCCCCGGCAATCTCAGCGGAGCGCTCCTTGGCCCCTGGGCAAGGAGCGGAAGTTGTTTTTTTCCTCCTCCTTTCTCTTGAAAATTTCTCTCTTAGTCACCACCGACCGCAGGCTGGGCTCTCAAACTCAAACACCTCCAGGGGCAAGCAGGGGCCACGAAGGTGTGGGGGCTGGAGCTTCTCCTCTTCACCGCCCAGCCTTTGCTCCACGGTCCTCGCGCTCCGGAGCTGGAGATGCGGCGCGGGAGCGCGAGGGGCCGGGAAACGATCTGCCCGCCCCCTGTGGGGCGGGGCTTAGCGAGGAGGGGCGGGGCTTAGCGAGAGGGATGGCTTGCCTGGCCCAGCACCAGGGAGAGGGACCAAGACTCTTTAGCAGCCAGAAAATCTTGCTCTGCCAGGTCAGGTGGGCCCCATTCCTGGCTCAGCTGCCGCGGCCGGGTCTGCTCCCGGCCCGGTTGCCCCTGACCCCAGAAAGGCACCCTCGCAGTGATGAGCTCACCACCCCAAGCAAGGGCCCAAAGGCCCCTGTGGCCACACGCTGCTCCGGAGCTTTTTGGACTCAGAACACCTTCCCTGTGTCTGGCACCCCACTGGGAATGGTATTCTGCCAAGAATCCAAGCCCAGATGGCGGGCATGTGGGGAAATGGCACAGGCTGCCTGGGAGACGGCTTTCCCATGACTTACCTCTCCGGCAATTAGCCAACTAGTCAGGTGCTCAGGACACCCAGGGTTCAGGCTCAGCCCTGCCACTTCCCTGCTGTGTGGCCTGGGGCAAGCTCCTGAACCTCTCTGAGCCTCAGCTCCTCATCTGGCAGACCGAACCCAAACCCGGATGTGATTGTTGCAAAGTTTAAAATGAAATAACGTAACCACTTAGCACAGCGCACAGCCTGCAGGAACTGGCATGAGAACTGTACCATTTGTCTCTGGGCGAGGGCCTGAGTTCCCCCTGGCCTAGGGGTCTGCCAGGCACCAGGAGGTGGGACGGAAGACGGCAGGAGCCCTGGGCAGGGGTGAGTGGAGGGGGCGCAGAGCAGCCTCAGCACATGCCCCATGCCCCGCAGCGGTGGGCGGGTTGTATCTGGCCGCCAGCCTCGGCATTTAATTAAGTTAGTGAGGAACCCAAACGTGTCTCGAGGGAGCCAGGAGCTGTCCCTGGTTTCCTCTGCCTGTAGATTAATTCTTGTTTTTCCTTTTCTTTTTTTTTTTCCTCTTCCCCTCTCCCCTTCTTCTTCCCAAGGAAGAAAAAAAAAAAAGCCTTATTTATTATCATTTTCCTCACTGTTGGCATGGCAACACAGGCGTACGTTACTGAGCTGCAGGCAGCCCCGCAGCCGTCCCAGCCACCACAGGCCCAGCCCCAGCCACCGCCACCATCAGCAGCACCACAGCCTCCCCAGCCGCCCGCCACCACTGCCACCCCCCAGCCCCAGTATGTCACCGAGCTGCAGAGCCCCCAGCCCCAGGCGCAGCCACCAGGCAGCCAGAAGCAGTATGTGACGGAGCTCCCAGCTGCCCCCACGCCCTCGCAGCCGGCCGGCGCACCCGCCCCAGCCCCGGTGGCCCAGCAGTACATCGTGGTCACCGTCTCTGGTAAGTGGACGTGCGCTCGGAGCCAGGCAGCTCCGTGAACAACTCCAAGAGGAGTTCCGGGGAGCCCAGCATCCTGGATGAGGGGCGCCGTGATGCCCTCTCACCATCACCTGCTGTACCTGTCACCGGGAGGGCAGCTATCAAAGTCTCAGGGTTCCTGGGCAGGACTCGGGGCATCTGTGGGGAAGGAGCGGTCAGGCCACGCAGGGAGGTCTCCGTGCCCCCATTTCCGTCCCACCAGGGCAGCTCTTAGGGCCGTTTCTCTCTGTCCCCACGCGGGCTGTCACTTGCAGTGACTGGGCAGGGGAGTTAAGATTCACGGCCGCCTGCTGGAGGCAGCGGGGGCGCCCAGCCGCCACTTTCCAGATGTGGCCTTGGCTGCTCTGCCTCAGTTTCCTCATCCATGAAGGGGTCAGAAGGGCTTTGCGGGATCAGGGATGTGTATGAGGTGCTCAGGGAGGCCGGCTGGGAGACCCGGGCATCACCTCCCCGCCATGGGGGTGCAGGACTCAGGGGCTGAGCGCGGCTGTCGCAGGGCGAGTTCGTGAGCATGTGGCCTATTTGTCGCCGCAGCTGCCCCTTGCGGCTGTGGAGGAGATCACCAGGAAGCTTGCATCCTGGCACCCATGTCCTGCCTGGAGCCCCTTCCCCATGCCCGGGGGCCAGGCTGAGCAGAGGGAACCTGAGGCAGAGGGTCAGGACGGCGGGTGCTCCTCCGGGAAAAGTGGGGCTCAGGCTGGGACTGGGCGGTGTCGGCTGTTTCTGATGTGCTCTGTGGAGGGGAGGATGTGGCAGAACCCAGCGTTGAGGCGGCCCTGGGATCACAGGGCATTCTGGGAGGGGGCGGGGAGGGCAGGTCAAGACTGGGTTTAGGACCATAGGACGACAGAATGTCGACATTTGTGGTGATTGACATGGCCCCGTACCAGGGCAGACGCCTCTGGGGCCCTGAGGCAAGGTGCCGTCACATGACGAGAAGCACCCTTCACCCTCCAAGCCAGCCTCCCACCTCCCAGGGTTTGTCTGTACCCATCAGCTCTGCCTTCTCATCGCTCGAAGGGTGTAGCGACCCTCCCCATTCTGGGCCGCCCCCTCCAGCACTTGCTTCTGCCATCCCCGCCTCGTCACTCGGTCCCCCTGTGATCTTTCTCACCAGCTTGTAAAGATGAAACAGCTCCCATTTTAACCAGGCCCCCGGGCCCTGCACCCCCGCAGCTGCCGTCTGTGTCTCATAATGCCTGTAAGTTAGACTCGCTCGAGGACGCAGCCTCCCTCTCTCGCCTCCTCACCTGCACTCTCTCCTCAGCCGCCTGCGCCCTTCCTCCGAGGTGGCCGGTTGGGGTCGCCGAGGCCCCCAACCTGTTCATCTCCCGCTCACCCTCGGTCCTCCTCTCCCGTGGCCTCTGGGCAGTGCCCTCCCCCAGAGAGGCCCTCCTGCCCTGGTCTCCACCCTCCTGGGTCCCCTGGCTGCTTGCTCCTCACCTCCTGCCCTTGTCAGCAGTGACCTCGTCAGGCCTAGGCCTCCTCTCTGCTCCAGTGATGCTCCCTTCTTGGTGGCCTTGTCTCTTGTCTTGGCTTTCAGTGCCACCTTTCTGCTGACAATGCCCACATTGATGTCTGTGCCCTGGGCCTCGGCCCTGAACTCCGGCCACCTGTGACCCATCCCCTCGGTGGGACAGGCAGCCTCTCAAACCAGTTTGGCTAAGTAGAACTCTGGATTTTTCCCTCTTCGAATCCGCCCTCCTTTGAGACCTCCTCGTCCCAGTAGCTATCACTCCCGGCCCGGCTCGGCCTTGATTCCTGTCCTTGAGCCAGCAAGGCCCCTCGGCTCCACCTCCCAAATCCAGCCAGAACCCCCTTCTCTCCCATGGCCCCACCCTTCACAGTCCACCCCCCCAGCAGCCAGGGGGAGCCTTTTGCCAGCCGCCAGTTAGGTCCCTTCATGTCCCAGCTCAACCCAGAGGATTCCGAGGCAGGTGGTCCTGGGGGCGCCGTCTGAGAAACCCTGGCCTGGGCTTTCTCGGCCCTAGGACCCTAGGAGAGCTGGCCCCTTGTGGGCTCCCCCACCACCACCACCAGGAAAGAGCTTTAAAAGCTCCCCACTCCCTGTGAAGGAGCCTCTGCTGACAGATGCGCAGCTCCCGGCTCTGGCCTGCGAGGCCCACCTGCCTCTCGCCCCCTCCTGCAGCTCTGCAAACCGGCCAGGTTCAGCATGGCCTCGGGGCCTTTGTGCTCCCATGCGCTCTGCCTGGAGCACCCCATCCCAGTCCTTCTGGGGCTCATGCCTCCTGTTCCTCGGGGCTCTGCTCCAGTCCACCCCCTGATGCCCACAGCTCCTCACCCCCGGTTGCTCACTCCCCGTCTCCTTCGTTTGCTTCATTTTCCTTCTTAACACTTGTCACCACCTGCAGTGACGATGATGGTGTCTGTTCCCATTGTCTACGAGGGCAGGGCTCTGTCCACTGGGTTGGGCAGAATGACGGACGAACGCCCACGCGTGCTGGCCCGACCTAGCACAGCCCTCACGTGCCTCAGCCCTGGGGTGGCCGAGAGCGGGCGGGAGGCCTCACCTGTCACCACTGCCTCTGGGGCATTGCATTGGCCCTGGATCTCCTGGGTGCTGGCTTTTGCTGCTTTGGGGGTCCAGGGTCCCCAGAGCAAGGGTCCAGAATGGGCACACAGAGCCCCCCAAGGCCCAGCCACCTCCTCTGTCTCCTCAGCTCCTCCAGCTCTTCCCAGTGCCTCCCCAGGGGGTCCCGGCGCTTAGAGGTCAAGGCCTCTGTCCCCATCCTGTCCCTGGGCCCCCACTGTGCTGTGGGCACTCCGCGTGCCCGGGCTGTTGATGGCCTGGCCTCCCATCTTCCCTCGGACAGAGGCTTAGCTGTCTTCCACAGTGGTCCAGAGGCTCATTTCCCTGCTCTGCTGGTTCTGGCGGGAGCGAGCCTGTCCCGGGAGGGTCACCAGGCCATGCTTCCTCCACTTGTTTGGAGGAAGAGGAGGTTGGCTTACGCCCTGTGGCTGCCCTTCCTGCTCCGCTGCCCCTCCCCCGTCCCCTGGCAGTGATTTCCTGGGCCTTCTCCCTGACCCTCACCCAGGTGGGTGGTCCCTTTCATCCCAGCCTGGCCTTTGGGCCACATGAGCAGGTGGGGAGGGCAGGGGGATGTAACTGACACCAGTGAGGCTGCAAGGCGCCTGGGCTCTTCCAGAGCCCGAAGCAGTCTGAGCTGATGGGCCCAGGGCGTGGCGGGGAGTGCAGGGAGGGCCTGGACCCAGACCTGGAGCACAGGCCAGCAGCCAGCCCGGAGCCACCCCAAAGGCAGCTCATCCGGGCTGCTCCCCATGGGCCCTGGCCTAAGGTGACTTTGGAGGCAATGGGAAGGAAGCTCAAGTTTCCCAGCTTCAGAACAGTCCTCTGGATCCATAATTCCCCGTCAGCAGAGGCCACCGGACTCTCCCCGAAACTCGAGGCGGCAGGAGGGCACGGGGCCGTGGCAGCCATCCTAGGGAAGGTGAAGGCAGCCTGCCACAGGGGACAGGGCTGGGCTCGCAGAGGGACCGTGTCCGCTTCTCCTCCCTGCTTCCCTCTCACTTGGAGTCCTTGGGAGCACAAGAAGATTTGTGTCTGGGAGAGGGATGTGGAGGGTGTGTGTCAGCATCCCAAGCACAGATGGGGAAACCGAAGTTGGGGCAGACAAGGGGCCCAGAGGCCCCAAAGAGCCCTTGACTGAAACCATCTCTGGGAGCAAAGGGTCAGGAGGGAGAGGGCCAGACTGGCCACCCATCGCCCATGGGGCCAGGGCCCCGGCTCTGCGGCTTCCCTCAGGCTTTGCCCACGTGCTCAGGGCATCTGAGGCATGAGCGGTCTCGACGGGGAAGTGCAGGCCGGGGAGGAAGAGCTGCTCATCAGATAGGAGGGACAGGAAATCAGCTGCCACTTCCTGACTAGAGACTTGAGATGGCGGGGCCACCCTGGCCTCATGCACACGCCCAGAATGGAGTGGCAGATGCAGACGTTCACAGACTGTGTCACACGCAGCCGGGGCAGGTGGCAAGGCCGCCCTGGCCTCATGCACACGCCCGGAATGGAATGGCAGATGCAGACGCTCACAGACTGTGTCACACATGCAGCCGGGGCAGGTGCGGGGCCGCCCTGGCCTCATGCACATGCCCGGAATGGAGTTGCAGATGCAGACGCTCACAGACTGTCCCACACACGCAGCCGGGGCAGGTGCGGGGCCGCCCTGGCCACAGGCACACAGGTACACACAGGAAGCCCTCATCTGAAGAGTAGACTCGGGGACCTCACCTGCTTGTCCTCGTACTGTGGCCTCCTGGCCTGGCCAGCGTGTGGTCCCGGCCTTGAGGGCCACCCTGGGGCAGGAGACCGGCAGGGCTGCTTCCAGGGCTTGCCCGGCCTGGCAGACGCCTGATCGCAGCAGGGCCCCAGCCTGTGCCCCACTCAGTGACTACCCTGAGCTGGGCGAAGCCTGCCCCGGGCCTCCTCCAGCAGGCTGTCCGCCGGGCTGGGCTTGGCTCCCTGCGCACAGACCACAGGCGTGCGGGCCCCACGGGGCTCATTGCTTCCCCGAGGGGCCTACTCAGTGAGGGCCTCCTCCCTCACGCTCAGGGAAGCCTCAGTGGATGTGAGGAAAGATTCCAGCAAAACAGAGGAATGGGTGCCTCCTGGAACTGGCTGCAGAGGCAGCTGGCTGAGCAGGCCTGGGGTTGTCCCAGTGCCTGCCCCCTGTGTGGCCAGTGGGAGGCTCCCCCCAATGCCTCCTCCTACCAACACATAAACATTTGTGCGCTCTGCCCCACATGGGCCCTGAGGGCCTCACCTCTACCCAGGACAGCCCTCTGCCCTGAGCAGGCCCCTCTGTCCCCACACAACTGAGGCCCAGCGTCCCCCTTGGAGGCTGAGTCCCACCCTGGGATGGCCTGAATCTTGTGGTGTCCCCGTAGGGCCTCTGCTCACTGTCGTCCTGGACCCACGTGCCTGAGTCTGCACGCCACTGCCCGCGGGGCCTGAGCTCGGGCATGACCCTCCACTCGGGTTCTGTGCACGGTGTGAGGTTCACGTGGGCACAGACGTGGGCTTGTGTCCTGGTCTGCCAGTTCCGCGCTGGGTGACGTTGGGCAAGCCACTTCCTCTCTCCTGGTCTCAGTTGCCTTGTCTGAAAACGGGGGCAACCAGAGTTCTTTCCATCTCCAGCTGCCCAGGAGGACCCGGCACAGGGCCTGGCGCATCAGAAGCACCATAGTTACTGCTGTGACTTCTCACTCGCCGCCCTGCAGTCCTGCCCGGGACCCCGGGGAGCTGGGGCTGGGACCCTGGCTCCTTCTGGCAGCACACTGGAGGAAGGACAGGCGCATGTGGTTCCCCAGTGCCCCCACCCCCACCCCCAGCATCCCTGGAACTGCTGGGAGCAAGCCAGGCTGCCTGGAGCGGGCAGGACGGATGGTGTCCTGACCAGCGTCTTTCGGGGACACTTGCCCTCTGTGCCCCGCTTCCCCCAGCTCCCCTGTTAATCCCCCAGCGAGATGTGCATGAAACTCAACCTGCGCCCGCCGATAGCATCGCTGGGTACCAGCCTCCTTCCTGGCCCCGCAGCGTGGCCCCAGCCCCGAGAAGGCCGCTCAGGCCGCGCCTGCTGGGAGGGGAGTGTTTATTCCAAGAGGGCAGCTGGGAGCTGGGAGCTCGAGCTCTGCATCCACTGGGGGATTAGCTCCCCAAGGTTGTGGGTATAAAGCCGCCCGCGCACCCCGCTGTCCCCGCCAAGGTGGGAAGGAGCGAGGAGTGCCGAGCCAGCTACCCTGACAGCCGGGGCGGGGTGGGGCGGGGGCACCATGTTCTATGACTGCCTCTTCTCGGTTGCCTGTCAGCGTGAGTACCCCCTGCCCAGCGGCAAGGCCCCCTGCTGCTCCCGCCCTGAAAGGACAGGGAGGCTGGACAGTGGAGGGGGACGGGGTGCTTGGTCACAGGCCAGCAAGACCTTCTGGGGCCACTCCCCTGGTCAGCTTGTTTCTAGGAAGCCAGGAGCCATCTCCAGGAAGGTCCTTCCAGGGCTGCTGGGACCCCGGGTGGGGGTCACTCACTCCCTATCCACAAACCTTGTCTGTTGGGAAAAGGGGTCCATCCCTCTAGGCCTCCACCACATCATGGTCTCAGGCACCTCTTCTGGTCTGACTTTGGGGTGAGGAGGGTAAGGGTGGGGTGGGGCTACTTCTGGATGTTAAGAATTATGGATCGCGGTGGCGCCCACCCCACCCCAGCTGGCAGAAGGCAGTCAGGGCTTCTGGAGAGGCCTGGCCTCGTCAGGGCTCAACCTGGGGCTGCATCACCCCATCCTGCTGGGCTCAGGCTCAGAGTGGGGGCAGGGGCAGCAGGCAGAGCTGACCGGTGACTCTCCTCACAGAAGGCACGATGCGGGCCAGCGAGACAGTGTCAGAGGCCAGCCCCGGCTCCACGGCCAGCCAGACCGGGGTCCCCACGCAGGTGGTTCAGCAGGTGCAGGGCACCCAGCAGGTAGGATGTGCCCTCCCCCAGGGGCAGGTGGAGAGGGCATGTGAGGGGGGCAGTGGGGACTGTGGCCACGGGTACCTCGCCTCCCCTCCCCCAGCCAGGACCATCTGCTCACCTGTTGTCATCAAGATGTTCACTGCTGCCCCTCCCCGCCCCCGCGGAGGCCGGTGGCACTCAGGTCCTTACTCCTTGTCCCTGCAGCGACTGCTGGTCCAGACAAGCGTGTCGGGCAAGCCGGGCCATGTGTCACCCCTCCAGCTCACGAACATCCCTGTGCCCCAGCAGGTAAGGCTGTGGCATCCGGCCCTGGCCCCGGCTGCCTCCCTCAGGGTGCAGACCCACCCTGCTTTGGCTGACCAGCCTCAAGGACACAGGCCCTGTCCAGGGCCCCCCACATTCTAGCTCTGAGCAGCTGCCTCCACTGACTGAAACCATGTTGGTCGGGGCTCACTGGGGAAGGAGGAGCCACATGAGTCATCTTAGCAGAGAGAACTGTGGCTTGGCAGGGAGGAAGGCGGCTGGTGGGTCCAGCCCGTGTCCCAAAGCCGGTTAGGAGCCAAGCACCCCTAACCAGATGCACGGTGGTCTGTCCCCAGAAGGCTGCAGACGGGGCCGGGCCTCGCACACACCGGGACAGAGTCCCGCCAGGTGCCAAGGGCGAGAGCGTGTCCTGCGTGGCCTGTGGAGCCGGCCCTGGCACAGACCTGGCCCGGCCGCTTTCAGCTCCAGGCCCTCGGCAAGCGCTCCCAGCGTCCTGGGCCTCGCTTTCCCCCTGTGAAGTAGGGGTTTCGACAGCGCTGTGTGGGGCTGTCGGGGCGCTCCTGGGAGCTAACAGCCATGCAGCACAAGGCGTCCCGGCACAGCTCGGGTGCTCGTTGTCCCGGCCATGGCGAGTGAGCTGCCGTCCTGCTCCCTCCTGCTGCAGGCTCTCCCCACGCAGCGTCTGGTGGTGCAGGGCACAGCCCCGGGCGGCAAGGGCGGCCAGGTCGGCCAGGTCTCCCTGACGGTGCATGGCACCCAGCAGGTGCACTCACCCCCTGAGGTAGGTGGGGGCCCCGCTGGCCGCCCTCCCCACTCCTCTCCCCAAGTATCCGTGGGGCTCCTGCCCCCCGAGCCCACTTGCCCCTCCAAAGTCCTCATTGACCCCAGGGGGTGGCTCTGAGCTGAGTCCAGCTCCAGGAGGAGGAGACGCCCCTCCACCCCCAGTCAAGATGGGCCTTCCAGCTCCAGCTTCGGGTGCTGTACCCCAGGAAGCAAAGCAGGTCCCTCTTCCCTCCACAGTGCAGACAGAGCTCCTCCCCGACCACAGGGTGCATTCTGCGGACCCCCGAACGCTAACGAGGGTGTCAGAGGCAGGCCAGCTGTGGGGGGCTGGGAGTGTGGGTTTCCGCCTCAGGACTTTGAGGTCAGACCTCCAGCTCAGCCACTTAGTCCTGGGGCCTCTGGGCAGGCCCTCAGAGCCTCCTGAGCCCAGAGCTTTCCATGTGTGACACAGCTAATGACAGCAGCCACCCATCAGCTTGCTGTGGCGCAGCTGGCCCAGAGCTAACAGCGGCTCGGTAGCTAGCCCACCTGGGTCAGTGCCTGGCGCCACCTCTCACAGCTGTGTGGCCCTGCACACATCCCTTCCCATCTGTGCCTTAGCAACTCATCTGGAAAGTGGGGATCTCGTCACCTACTCTTTCTCACCATGGGGCTGTGGCCCGTCTGATTCTAGAGGCAGCAAGTCGCCCCTGAGCCAAGCTGGAGTCCCAGCCATGCTTCCTGGGGAGGACGGGTCCCCCCACCAGCACCTGTGGGCTGAACCCCAAACCTTGCTGGGGGTGACCGGGGCTGCAGCAGGAACTAGGCATTTGGGTGCACGGGACACAGCCGCTACTGGCTTAGGTAGTCAGGACCAGCCCCGCTGGCTGTGCCCTTCCCGACAGCTGTGGGGACAGCCCTCTTGAGAAGGGTTCCGTCAGGGCCTGGGGCTCTGACAGTGCTCCTGTCTCCTTCCCTCGCAGCGGTCGCCGGCGCAGGCCAACAGCTCCTCCAGCAAGACGGCCGGGGCCCCCGCAGGCACGGTGCCGCAGCAGCTGCAGGTCCACGGCGTCCAGCAGAGTGTCCCTGTCACCCAAGAGGTGCCAGGCCAAGGCGGGCAGGGACTGGGGTGGGGGTCCTGGCCAGGCGGCCTCCGCGGCGTCCTGCGTCCTGGAGGGAGCTGCAGTGGGAGGGCCTGTGAGAGCCCGCAGAGGGGTCCACTGTGAGAGCCGGGCCTTCCACAAGGCCTCTGCTTCTCCCAAGACTCAAATCCTCATCTAAATGATGGCTTCTGCCCTGCGGGCTGGGGCAGGGGGTTGGGGCTGCTGTGAGGAAGGAATGCGGGCCTAGCACTGAACGGGCTCTGGAAGCAGCTTCGAGAAACAACCTCGGCCTCTTTGGGCCCATCAGCCTGGAGGAACCCAGAGGCCAAGCCCTGGCTCACCCTGAGGGGCTCGGGGAGAGGCCCCAGCCTCCAAATCCATGCCCAACCTGGGGGAGGCCTCACTGAGCTGCCAGCTGTGGCAGCTGGAGCAGGTCAAGAGGCGAGGCCTGTCTGCCATCTGGTTGTTAGCACTCGAGCTGAGGGTGCCCAGGCCCTCGAAGGACCAGGTGAAAGCCACAGGTCCTCTCCCCAGAGGAAAGTGGAGACCCCACCCTGAAGCTTCATAGCTCTTCTCTTGCCTGGCACCACAGCCCCTCTGCATCTCCACACCTGGGTTCCAGCCCCGGCCCCACCACTCAGCAGCACCCCCCCAGCCTCTGCCCCACACTCTGTGCCGGGAGGTGGCAGCGTCCCCGCCACAGCGTGGAAGAGCAGACAGCTGGGGGTGCGGGAGAGCCCCCAGAGGGAGTTGGTGGAGAGCGGGGACTCGCTCAGCCGGTCCCAGGTCCCAAGTTCAGCTCTCAGCTCTGCCACCTCCCGCCAGCCGCACCTTGCTGAGCCTGGTGCTCCACACCGATAACCTGGTGCCCAGTCAAGGGGGCAATGAACCTGGAAGGCACGTGGTGCAGAGCCAGCAGAGAGCTGCAGGACAGCTGCCTTTTTTTTACCACGCTGCTGTGAGGCTTACAGGAGTCCTTGTGTTGGCGGGGGAGTGCTGAGTGACAGGCGGGCCCCCAGCATCGCCGTGGTTACCGCAGTCTGACTTGCCTCTCCCTCCCCAGAGGTCCGTGGTCCAGGCCACTCCACAGGTGCCCAAAGCTGGCCCCGTGCAGCAGATGACGGTGCAGGGGCTCCAGCCAGTCCACGTGGCTCAAGAGGTGCGTGCCTCCCCCACCTACCTCTGGGCGTACTGGGGCTGGGCGCGGGCTGGGCTGGGGAGGGGTGCAGGCCCCTCAGGCCGCAGGGAGGGATAGACCCGATCCTGTGCCCTCAGAGGCCCCGCCCCGGGCTCCGCCTTCGGCCCCGGGCTGCAGACGGGGTCCTGGAGCCTTCCCCTTCCCGCCCCGGGCAGGTCAGGGCCCAGGTTGGCTGAGAGGGATCGGAGGCTCTGCTCCCTGAGACCCAGCGCGGGGCGGGGGCTTCCGGTCGGGTCTCAGCGTGAGCCCCGCAGCCCGGTGGGGGCGGCGGCCTGGCGCCCGGGTGACCCCTCAGTGTCTCTGTTTGTCCTCCAGAGCTCAGACAGTCAGTTTCCCGCTAGGAAGGCAGAGCAGCGAGAGCCCCGGCCCACGCCGCCGCCGGAGCCGCCGCCCCGGCCACCCCCGCCCCGGCCCGGGCCGAGCGCGCTGGCCCCGGAGCCGCCGCCCCCGCCCGCCCGCGGCCAGGCCCCGCAGCTAGGCAGCCCCGAGCCGCCGCCGCCCCCTTACGAGCCGGGCGCCGCGCAGTGGGTGGAGCTGGTGGGCGTGCTGCCCCCGCACCTGCTCCTGCCGCAGCAGAAAGTGGTCCTCGAGCCACTGCCCGGGCTCGCGGCCCGAGCCAGCCCCGACCAGAGGGTCAGGATCCAGAGAGTTCCCCAGGTGCTAGTGTTCAGCACGGCCGCCACGGCCCTCAAAGTAGGTGGCGGACGCAGGGGCGGGGGGCGACGGGCGGGCGGGGGCGGGATCCGCCGGCCCCGGCCCGTGCAGGCCTTGGGCTGCCCGCCAGGCCCCGCAGGCCCCGTAGACCCCACCCCTGCCACGCCAGTCTGGGGACCCGCGTCTGATCCCTCTAAATTGGGTTCCAGGCCCCAGGCTCCGCCCCCTATAGATTGGGATTGGGGATGGGGTGGGGAACTCAGGCCCCGCCCCTGAAACCTGGTCAGTAGGTCCCGGTTCAGTCCCACCAACGGGCGCCCCACCCACGGCCCCGCCCCTAACATCCTGCCCGGTTCCAGGCCCCGCCCCTGCAGACCCGGTGGGTCAGTGATGCAGGCTCCACCCTTGAGGCCCTGTCTGCTCCCAGCTCCAGCTTAGCGACAGCCTCGTCCCAGAGTTTGGCTGTGCTCCTGGTGTCCAACTGTCAGGCCCACAATAGGACCCTATCTTGGGGTCCCCTGGGCCCGCCTCCCCTCAGGCCCCACGCTTGCTGTCCCCAGCCCAAGCGGAGAGTCCTGGCTTCTCCTCCTGACACAGCTCTGCCTGATTCCCAGCCCTGGCCGAGGCCGCAGCCCCTGCGCCTCTGAGCCCCAGCCCCGTCCAGGGTGTGTGCAGAAGTGCAGCCATGCAGCCGGGGAGCGGGGGTCCGGGCGAGCTGGGGCAGCCACCAGCCCTTCAGAGGCGAAGGCGGAGGAGCCGGCCCACCCCGACCCTCTGCGTGTCCTTCGTCCTGTGCCAGGTGCAGCAGCTCCAGCAGGTGCCCGTTCCACACGTGTACTCCAGCCAGGTGCAGTATGTGGAGGGCGGCGATGCCAGCTACACGGCCAACGCCATGTGAGTGCGGGGCTGGGGGGGGGGGGGCGGGAGGAGGACCCCCGGGACGCCAGCCTTCAAGGCCTCAGGTGAGGGGCAGGCGGTGGGTGCTCCTCGGGCACCTGCAGCCACCAGGCAGGGCAGAAGCAGAGGGGACCCTGGCAGGCTGGGGGAGACATCCCAGCACAGCTTAGGACTTAAGAGTTAAATGGCCTGGGACTTTTGTAAAAATGATAATAATTTTTACAAGATAAAAACATCTAGGTATATAGAAACTTAGTGAAAAAAATCCCCTTCACTCCTGTCCCTCAGCTCGCCCTAGAGGGGACCCTGTGACCCATTTCTTTGTTTCCTCCCCGAGGTCCTCTTTGACGAGGAACTGCCCCTTTCTTTGTTCAGAAACAGAGGCAGCATCTCATGTCCCGACTCTTTCCTCAGTTGTGTATCTCGCAGCGCTTCCCGTCGTTGTCTGTGTAGGTCCCGGTCACCCTCTTTAGCCGCTGCGTGATGCTCAGCCATGTAGGCGTGTTGTGAGTGGCGCAGCCAGTCCCCACCTCCCCGAGTGTAGGTGACTTCCGCTCCTGGTCCTGCACATGTGCAGTGTTAGTGCAGCCCCGTCGGGCAGACGCCACGCCCTGGGCCCCCGCCCTGGCTCTGGCTCCGCGCCGGGATCCCCCATACCGCGTGCATTCATCCGTTCTTCCATCCTTCGCAGTGATAATCCCAGGACTAGTTGTTGCCATTTGAGTTTTTAGGAGTTTCATTTGGTTTTCTTTGCATTTGTCTGATTTTTTTCTTGCATCCTCCCACCTGTCCTGTGGGCATGGTGCTGAGAGTAATTATCCGGCGGAGCAACTCGGTCCCGGGGTCACGAGGCTGTGGCTGACCCTGAGGGCCCCTGGGTCATGGTCCATGGCATCCAGCCCCTCACAGTTCTGCCGATTTCTTTCCAGTGCTGCCAGTCTCTTAGCCATGCGGTCGTTTAGTGCTGGCGGGACCACAGAGGGCATTCCAAAGAGGAGGCCTGTCCCTGAGGCCCCCAGGGATGTTAAAAGCAGTGCTACGAGCCCAGGCCTCAGGGTTCCCGGCTGACTCCCTCTGCCTCCCCTGGGAGTGACTGTCCTTTCCTTCTATTGAATTGTTCCTTTCATGATTCGTGTGTGAGCCATCAGATTTTTCTGCTCTGTGATGTTCTTGGGAGCACTGTGTCTTCTGTTTCTCCCACACAGTGGATAACTACTGGGTTCCCAGCCTTTCACTGGCCTAGCTCCCCGCCCTGACCAAAGCCGCAGCCGCTGGGCCTCCGTCCTGGCCCTGTCCAGGCTGCCCAGAGACACACACCTTCCTTTATTCAGTCCTTCAGCAACCGCTCCTGGAGGAATGACTTTTTGGAAGCACATATTGTGTGCAGGACACTGGGCTGGGCCGGCTGTGGTCCCTGCCCAGGGAGTGGAGGGGCACTTGCCAGGGCCAGCTCAGGTCACACCCTGTCAGCGTCACTTGTGTGGTAGACATGGATGGGGTGCAATGGCCTGGAGCTGCACCCCCTTGAGTGACCTCATGACTGCGCCTCCTGCTACTCTCCCCTCCCCAGCCCAGCCCCTCCCCTGCCGCCCCAGTGTCCTTCCTTCAGGAGACTGTGCCAAAAGCACCTTCAGAGCCAGGCCGCCTGACCCACCTCCCTCTCTTACTGGAGTTAAAAGTTTAACATTAGGTTTTTAAATCACTAACACATTGAGAGGGCTCAAAAATCAAATCACTGTGTGGGATCATGGCTGGTGAGGTGCCTGCCCCCTCCCCCCCTTCCTCCCCACAGATACCATGTGCACGGCTCCATCTTCCTGAGGCCCCGTATGCACCCTTTCCCACCTCTTCTGTTCACATGATAGAGTGTTCTGGAGCTTGTTCTTTGGCAGGACTATGAGGCCTTCTTCCTCCTCCTCCTCCTCTTCCTCCTCCTCCTCTCTGGATCCTGTCACCCTTGATATCTAACAGCTCCCTCAAGGTGGACCCCCATCGTTTTTACCCTCTTGCTACAATTTGCAGCCTTGAGCCTGCATCACCTGACGCAGGTCCTGGGTAGCTGGCAGAGACCTCTCCAGGGCCAGCGAGGCTGGTGTGCAAGGGAATGGCAGTTGCACTCTGACATCCCTCAGGGCGGCCCGCCAGGGTGGCCCCCGGCCTCCAGCAGCGCTGCCTGCCTCCTCTGCCTCCTGGGTGCCCCACCTCTGCAGTGCCCTCTATTGACCTTTGGTCTTGGCTTCTAGGCTCTCTCCTCAACTAGAACTCCCCCTAGCTGGGCCTTTTCTGTCTCCTCCGTGTGGGGTCCAGGGTGCCCAGAACAGGGCCCAGCACACGGTAGGCACTCAATAATCGTTTTTCGCTTGAGTGAGGTGTGTGGCCTGTGGCAAGTCCCCTGGTTCTCGTCCTGGTCAGATCAGGCGGAGGTGGGGGCTCCCTCCTGTGTCCAAGGACCGTGCCGAGGACCCCGGTGGCGGGGTGGGAGCCCCCCCGGGAGCGTCCGGTCGCCCTGGCCGACTCGCGCCCTGACGGCCGCCTGCCTCCTTGCAGCCGCCCCGGCACCTACCCGTACCCCGAGACGCCGCTCTACACACCCGCACCGGGCTCCAGCTACTACGAGGCCGCCGGCACGCCTGCCCAGGTCAGCGCGCCTGCCACCTCGCAGGCGGTGGCCAGCAGCGGCTCCGTGCCCATGTACGTGTCCGGCAGCCCGGTCGTCGCCAGCGCCACCAGCAGCGGGGCCGGCGCCAGCAACGGCGGCGGCGGAGGCAGCGGCGGCGGGACAGGTGGCGGCGGTGGCGGGGGTGGCGGTAGCAGCGGTGGCGCAGCGGGCACCTACGTGATCCAGGGCGGCTACATGCTGGGTGGGGCCAGCCAGTCCTACTCTCACACCACCCGTGCCTCACCAGCCACTGTAAGTGCCCACCGGGGGAGGTGGGGGTGGGGAGGTGGCAGTAGCAGGGTGGGGGCGGGGGTGTGGTCACCAGGGCAGACCCTGGGCACCCTGGTGCCAGAGTGCTCAGGTAAGGATGGATGGCCAGGGCGGAATCCTCGCTGTGCGACCTCAGGCGCGTTACTCGGCCTTTCTGGCCCTCAGCGAACAGGCAGGAAGCTCTTAGAGCGGTGCCCCAAGAACCCCGCTTGGGAGGAGCTGCCCCGAGCCAGCGGGGTGGCCTCCTGCTGCCTGGAGGCCTGGGTTGGGTGGCTCAGGCAGCCCTGGCTCCCAGCCCTGACCGGGCCCCTGGCTACCTCTGTGACCATGGGTAGGTCAGAGCCTGGTGGTCCCGAGGTGGTCCCTGTTCTCTTGGAGCTCCAGGTCTGGGGCGATGGCTTCCACAGGTTGCTGCCTCACGCCCTCTGGCATGGCTGCCCACTCTGGACCCCGTGACCCAGCCACAGCTTCCCCAGGAGGTGGCACTCCTGGCTGGCAGGACACAGCCTCCCTTCTGGGCGGGTTTTTAATGCTGGTCGGGACCCATGCAACTGATTTCATGACCCCAGTGGGTTCTCATCCCCGTTTGCAGACCTGCTTTGCTAGAACAGTGTGTCCAGAGAAGGCTCTTAGGGACGGAAATGCTTTCTGTGCTGCCCGGCACCCGGGCCTCTGGCCACGGGTGGCTGCTGAGCACTTGGAACGTGGCTGGGGTCTCTGAGGACTTGAGTTGAATTGCTTTTTTTCCTAACTGTTTTGATATAAGTGTAGATTCCCGGGAAGCTGCAGAAATAGTGCAGAGGGGTCCCTGTGGCCCTTCGCGCAGGTTACCCCCATTACACCTCACGTACCTGGGGCACTGTACGCAACCACTGGGGACCCTGTGGGTGGCTCCTTCTGGGTCTTTGCGTCACGTGTGTGGATCAGGAAAACTCCCCACAGTCAAGATGCAGAACCTCCCACCACCCTGAAGACCTCCCACCTGCTGGCCCCTTGTAGTGACCTCACAACCCTAATCTCTCCCCATGTCGGGATGCTGTCATCTCGAGAATGTTCTATGAATGGACTCATATTCTGTGGGACCTTCTGACAGTGCGTTTTTCCACTCAGTACAAAATGACTTAAATTTGTATTTAAAGAGCCGTGTGTGGCTGGTGGCGACTGGTGTTGGACAGTGTGGTTCTAGAGAGTTCCTTGGGATTTAGTTCCCATGGGTGATGGTGATACAAGGCATGGTTGTCAGGATCGTGATCAGAAATAGGCACAGAGTGCACTTAGCAACGAGCACTCGAGAATCGGGTGGCTCAGCACCCTCCTGTCGCCCGGCAGGTCCAGTGGCTCCTGGACAACTACGAGACGGCAGAGGGCGTGAGCCTGCCGCGGAGCACGCTCTACTGCCACTACCTGCTGCACTGCCAGGAGCAGAAGCTGGAGCCCGTCAACGCCGCCTCCTTCGGCAAGCTCATCCGCTCCGTCTTCATGGGCCTGCGTACCCGCCGCCTCGGCACCAGGTGGGCCCTCCACAGCCCGCCCAAGTTAGGAGGGCCTCAGCTCCCCATCACACCCTCGCTCACTCTGCTCCAGCCCTACTGGCCCCAGGGCCCTTGCACTGGCTCTGCCTTGCACCTCAAGTGCCTTTCCCTGTCTTCTTGCTCAGACCTGTGGGCCCCTCGCTAGAGTGCAGCCTGCTCCCCTCCCCGCCGCTCCCCACACCCCACTCCTGCCCACTTCTCCTTGGCTCGCAGCACCACCAGCCTGTCTTTTCTCTTATGTGCGTCTCGCTCCTGATCTGTCTTCCAGTGCTGAGAGGCGTCCACCTTGAGAGTGGGGGCTGCACACAGTTGGTGCTCAGTCAGGGCCTGTGAGTCGGCAAATTCCCAGGAAGGAACAGGACCCCTCCCACGAACCCACCTTCCTTCCTGTCCTCTGCAACCCCATACCCCCCCGGGCTGAGCCTGCTCGCCTTTTGGTGCCACATCCCAGCCTAGGCATCACCTCATTCATGCAGGCATGCATAACCTGGGCCAAAGGAGTGGCTCTCCCTGTGCCTCAGTTTCCTCGCCTGGCCTGTCCATCTGGGATGTTAGGAGCACTCTTCCTGGGGTGGGGAGGAGGAGTACCTGGGTTCACCTGGGCCAAGTACTCAGAGCCGCGCCCGGCACTTTGAGGGCAGCAGTGCACGTGTATCTGCTGGGCACCAGCCCCGGGCTGGGATTGGGGCACAAGCAGTGAACCAGATGCTGGTCCTGTCTTCGCAGAGCTCGGGCAGCGGGGGCCTCTCCTGGCACCCGCAGCCCCTATGCTTGCCCAGTGCAGCATCCCCGGTTCTGTGGAACGTGAATCAGCCCCCGGGCTCTGTCTGCTCCCTAAGCAGAGCGCACGTGGTGTAGGGCGGGGTGGAAAGCCCCTGGCGGCCCCACCCGGCCCTCACCCTCCGCCTCCCTGCAGGGGCAACTCCAAGTACCACTATTACGGCCTGCGCATCAAGGCCAGCTCACCCCTGCTGCGGCTCATGGAGGACCAGCAGCACATGGCCATGCGCGGCCAGCCCTTCTCCCAGAAGCAGAGGTGGGAGCACAGTGCTGGACCCCGTGCTGGCAGGTGGGGAGGGCCATGCTGCCCAGCCCCCACCCATATGCCCTGCCTACCCTTCTTCTCCAGGCTCAAGCCCATCCAGAAGATGGAGGGCATGACCAACGGCGTGGCTGTGGGGCCGCAGCCGGCCAGCGGGCTGTCGGACATCAGCGCCCAGGTCCAGCAGTACCAGCAGTTCCTGGGTGAGGGCTCCCCAGCCCACAGGGGCGTGGGGCAGGGTCTGTGGGCCCAGAGAGTGGGAGATGGTTCACCTGCCCTCCCTGAGCCTTGCCAGCCCCCTCTGCACTGGGGGTTGCTGTTTGGCGGGAGAGTGGCGACAGTGCGATGGGATCCCAGGGAGAGGCTCGAGGGGGCAGCGGGGTGGGGGGGGGGCGGAGGGCCTCATGGCGTCCCCTCCTGCCCCAGATGCCTCGAGGAGCCTCCCCGACTTCTCAGAACTCGACCTCCAGGGCAAGGTGCTGCCTGAGGGCGTGGGGCCCGGGGACATCAAGGCCTTCCAGGCCCTGTACCGGGAGCACTGTGAGGTAGAGTGGGCAAGCCGGTGGGGGCAGCCGGGGCGGGGCCGGGGGGGCCTTGCGGCCGGCCCTGAGCCCACCTCCCCACAGGCCATCGTGGACGTCATGGTGAACCTGCAGTTCCCTCTGGTGGAGACGCTCTGGAAAACCTTCTGGCGGTACAACCTCAGCCAGCCCAGCGAGGCACCGCCGCTGGCCGTGTGAGTCCCTCGGGATGGGGAGGAGGGGGGGCCACTGTCGGAGTCAGCACCTGGGGCTAGGGGGCTGGAGCAGGGCCCCTGCCTGACCCCTGCATCTGATCCCGGCTCCAGATGTGCACGGGTGTGGGGCTGACCCTCAGTGTGTGGGCTGGGAGCCCTGCGAGCCACCGCCTCCCGGCAATGGGCGGGCCGGGGCCCTGGGGTGCAGGGGACTGGTCTGCCTCTGACCCTGGGGCACTAGGGCCTGGGGGAGGCAGGGACCACCCGCCTGCCCTGCAGGGTGGTACTGTGCCCTTCCAACCCTGGGGCAGGGCCGTGGAGTGTCCTTGTGACCCCAGGGTGGGGTGGGTGCCCACAGGCACGACGAGGCCGAGAAGCGGCTGCCCAAGGCCAGCCTGGTGCTCCTCTCCAAGTTCGAGCCCGTGCTGCAGTGGACCAAGCACTGTGACAACGTGCTGTACCAGGGCCTGGTGGAGATCCTCATCCCCGACGTGCTGCGGCCCATCCCCAGTGAGCGCACGCCCCCCTCGCCCCCCGCCCCCCCCAGGCCTCCCGGGCCTGATCAGCCCCCGCTGCCGCCCACAGGTGCCTTGACCCAAGCCATCCGGAACTTTGCCAAAAGCCTGGAGAGCTGGCTCACCCACGCCATGGTGAATATCCCCGAGGAGATGCTGCGGGTGAAGGTGAGGCTGGGGGCTGGGGCCTCGGGCCCCTCTGCCAGAGGCTGTAAGATTTGTCCCTATGCCTGTCCCCTCAGACTGAGCTCTGGGTGTTGTCTTTATAAACTAGCCTCCTCAGGTCCCCACTTCTGCAACAGAACCCCTTGGTGGTATTTTTGTATGCAGCACAGCGTCTTAAAACCATCAAAGCCATGTGCAGACTTCAGGTAGTTCTCCTCAGACAGCCTTAAGACAAAGTGCGCTGGGTGTTCAGAGATAGACAGACTCTTAAAAAGAAAACAAGAGCAGCGTCTGTAAGGAAGGGAAACGTGGCGTCTTCATTAATGCTGCAGATTCACTAACTGCGTAGATGGGAGGAGTTGGATGTGCGTGCTCTTGGGCAAAAAGAAAAGAAAAAAAAAAAAGAAGGGGGTGTTTTTAGTCCTTAAAGTGTTGGGAGGGCAGCTCAGCAGAACTGAAAAATCGCCCCTGGCCGGGCAGGACACAGGGCACGGGGCAGAGCCCAGGAAGCTGGATCCAGGGCGACACCCTTCAGAACGGGCAAGACTCACATATTCATTTATGCAGCATGCATCTATTGAGCACCTGCTGCATGCACAGCATGGCTCAGTGACCGAGATGGACAGAACCCCAGCCCTCCCAGAGCTGACAGTCAAAGGAATAATCAAACCAAATGAAACAAACGCTCCTGGGAGCCGTGCTGGCCTTTTCTAGGTAGTGCCCTCCGAGATTTCTATTGTGTCCTCTCATTAAAAATAATAATGAAGGGCAGACACAAAACGTTGATTTTTGGACCCACACTTTGGGTGGATGGACTCAAAGTGTGAAGCTCCCGACCGCTTGATCTCCCGACAAAGGCAACGAGGTCCCCTCCCCTCCGCTTTCGGGAGAAGCTGTGCAGAGGGATCGCCGAGAGTGGGCAGGGGACGGCGTGGGCGGGTTCTTGGAAGCCACAAGCCCCCCGCCCCGCAGGTGGCAGCGGCCGGCGCCTTCGCACAGACGCTGCGGCGCTACACGTCGCTCAACCACCTGGCGCAGGCGGCGCGCGCCGTGCTGCAGAACACGGCGCAGATCAACCAGATGCTGAGCGACCTCAACCGCGTGGACTTCGCCAACGTGCAGGTGAGCGCGGGGCAGGCGGGCGGCGGTTTGCGGGGCGGCCCGGGGCGGTGGCTGAGCCCGGGTGCCCGCCCGTTGTGCCCCAGGAGCAGGCCTCGTGGGTGTGCCGCTGCGAGGACCGCATGGTGCAGCGGCTGGAGCAGGACTTCAAGGTGACGCTGCAGCAGCAGAACTCCCTGGAGCAGTGGGCGACCTGGCTGGACGGCGTCGTGAGCCAGGTGCTCAAGCCCTACCAGGGCAGCGCCGGCTTCCCCAAGGCCGCCAAGCTCTTCCTCCTCAAGTGGTCCTTCTATAGGTGCGCACCGGCTGGGCGGGGCCGGCCGGGCGGGGCGGGGCGGGGCCGGAGGAGGGCCCTCCTCCCGGGGCGGGACCCAGAGGAGGCCCCTCCTCTCTGAGGACAGGCCGAGATGGCACTAGAGAAGGCCCGGCCTCCTCGGCGAAGGCAGGGTGCTTCCGCTCTCAACGATGGGCGCCCTGGAGGAGCTGGCGCGGTCCGGGCGGGGAGCTGGGCTTGCTCGAGCCTGCGATCCTGGCAGCACGGACGGGGGCGAGGGGCGGGACCGAGCCTGACGGCCGCCTCTTCGCCGCCGCCTCCAGCTCCATGGTGATCCGGGACCTGACCCTGCGCAGCGCCGCCAGCTTCGGCTCCTTCCACCTCATCCGGCTGCTGTATGACGAGTACATGTACTACCTGATCGAGCACCGCGTGGCCCAGGCCAAGGGCGAGACCCCCATCGCCGTCATGGGCGAGGTGCGCGCAGCTAGGCGCTGAGGGCGCGGGCGGGGCGCCCCTCGGCGGGACTCTCACCCCTTCCCTTTTCTCCTTGCAGTTCGCCAACCTGGCCACCTCGCTGAACCCCCTGGACCCGGACAAAGGTAGGCGCGGCGTGTCCCCTGCCCAGGGCCCGAGTCAGGGGGGCGGTGGCCGGGGGGGAGCTGGGGTGGAGGCGGTGCCGGCGAGGCCCTGGGGGCGCCGCCGCCCCGCGCTGAGCCGGGCCTGGTCCGTGTGCCCCAGACGAGGAGGAGGAAGAGGAGGAGGAGAGCGAGGACGAGTTGCCGCAGGACATCTCGCTGGCGGCTGGCGGCGACTCGCCCGCGCTGGGCCCCGAGGCCCTGGAGCCGCCGGCCAAGCTGGCGCGCACGGACGCGCGCGGGCTCTTCGTGCAGGCGCTGCCCTCCAGCTAAGCCCGCGGCCTCCCCGCCCCGCCCGCCTCCCTGCCCGCCCCGCCGCCCCTCCACGCCAGGGTCCTTCGCAACTTCTGTGGCTTCGCTGTCACCGATCCAGCCTCGGCCAGGGCGGGGAGGGGACCTCCGAGACAGGGAAGGCTCCGAGATGGGGCCGGCACACTCACAGGGCCGGGCGGAGCCGCAGCTGCAAACTCTGACACAAAAGACGTGCCTTAAGGAACCCGCCGCCGTGCCCAGGTGCCCCTTGGGGCAGCCAGGTCGGCCCCTCGGCCCCAAGCCCGCAGCATCTCCCTTCCCCAGCCGCCTTCCCGCCACCCCCGGGGGCAGGCAGGCAGGCCCCCTCCCCCGCGGAACTGTTAACTTATTCAGCTCGCTGGCTTTGCACAGCCTGCCCTGGGCCCAGCCCTGAGCCCCAGGTGGGCGCCGGCGGGCATCACCTGGTGACCCCCCCCCTCCCCACTGTCAGCAGCAGCCCCCGGGACCCCTCCTTCGACAACCCCACCGCTTCTCCCTCCTCCGTTTAAGTGCAATTAAAGCCGTGGGTGTCGCATCTTCTCGGAGCTGGGCCCTCCCTCGCCCTGCAGCCCTGGACGGGGCACCGCCGGCCTGGCTGCGGGGAGGGCAGCGGGGCCGCCGCCTCCAGCTTCCAAAGAGCGGCGGGCGGGCGGGTGCCGGAGCCCAGGGCCCTGCTGCGGGCGGCGGGCGGCGGGCTGCGCCTGCCCGCGGGGCTGGGGGCTCCGCGCGCTCAGACCCAAGACCCCCGCGTCCCGGGCCCTCCCCGCTGCTGGTTTGTGATGGAACCTCCTCGCTCCTCCCCTTCGCGGAGACCCCGCTTCTCCTCCGTGCTGTGCGCCCCTGCCCCCCATGACTATTGTGCGATTTGTGAGCGCCGCCCAGCGGAGTCGGTAACTTGTTGGGTTTCTTTCCAACCATCATGGCCTTATCTGTTCCGGTTTTCTCAGTGTTTTCAACCTGTGAGATGTTTATGGCAAAAAAGAAAAAAAAAAATCTGACCTATTGTATAAAAATCACTATTTTGCGTGCTCCGCGTGCTACAGCTTTTGGGGTGGCCCATCCACCCCCCTCCCTGCCCTCGGGGTTCCCCTCTCCCGGCGGTGAAAGTGTCCACGCGTGTGGTAGTCTAGTGTGCCGAGCTGTTTTCTACCTTTTTGTAGTCTTTCTTAAAACACAATAAATTCTGCTGTGATATTTGGCTACTGCTGACTGGCTGGGCCTTGGGGGGGCCTCGGGGGGCGGGGCTCCAGCTGGGCCCCAAGTGGCAGTCAAGGGAACTCAGCGAGGTTCAGAAATAAAACATTTATTACATGAAGAGGAACGACAGGGGAGCGGGGACGGCTGCCACGTTTGCCACCTCGAGTGGGGCAGGCTGGGGACAGGCAGGGAGCCAGGTCCACTCGGCCTCCCCAGGGGACGATGCCCACGCCTGGAGCAGAGGAGGGGGCAAACGAGAGAGGGCAGGGCCGTGCCCAGCGCAGGGTGAAGGCGGGCGGGCGCTTGGGGGGCTGGGGGGGGCAGGGGCTCCCTCCCTCTACCCCTTCCCAACTTAAATAGGCATAAATAAGAAGCGTCCAGACTCTCAGGCCACCAGGGGCCGCCCCGCCAGCCCCCTGCCCGCAGCTGAACACTAGCGCCAGCCGTCGGCGGGCCAGCCAACCGGGCAGGGCGGCCAGCTCCGGGCCGCGGAGGTAGTTGGAGTCAGTGTGCGGGCGGCCGGCCCTCACAGCACGATCCACGTGTAGCGCTCGCTGTCCGCCAGAACCTTCAGGGAGCACCCTGCAGGGAAGCGTGGGACAGCCATGCGTCTCTGGCCGGGCTGCAGCAGGGGCCCGCCTCTTCCCCTGATGTGACTTGGACGCGGGCTCCGGAAGGCAGCAGCCCAGCTGAGTTCGGCTCTGCCTCCCACCTGCAGCCACCCCATTGCGCCTGCCGAATGAACCGACGGCTGGGGGCCCAGGCGCCAACCTGCCAGCCCTGTCAGGCCTGGCCTGGGCTGCCCCCTCAGCCAGCGTCCGCAGCGTCACCCGCCCGGCCAGCGTGCTCGTCCTCCCGGACACACTTGGGAACCAGTCCCAGCTCTGGGCTGGCCTGGCAGGACGGGGCGCCCAGCTGTGGCTGCAGCCGGGTCGCGGGGCCCACCTTTGTGCAACGCCTCGTTGGTCATCCGGTTGACGTAGCGGCCGCTGCTCTCGGGCACCAGCCACTTCATGACCATGTCCACACAGCTCTTGCGGTAGGAGCTCCAGACACTGCCGCTGCGGGTGAGGGGGTGAGTGGCTCTCCTCGACCTGGCCCCGGCCCCGGGCCCCACCCCGGCCCCGCCTCACCTGGTCTGCCCTTTGACCTCTGTGAGGTCACCCACACTGACTGTCACAAAGATGCCGGTGTTGAGGTCCCAGGCCACCTTGAGGCTGGTGTGATAGGTCTTTGGTCTGCAGGGGAAGGGGAGGTGAGCAGAAGAGAAAGGAGGTGGCACCACAGGGTCCCTGGGCCAGGACCGAGGTGACCCTCAGGGCTTTTGTCTTTGGAGCAGTAAGGAAGGGACCAATGCAAGTTGTGGGGACAGGGGAGTCTTCTCATATCCCCCCTCCCCTGTGGGCCCCTGCTGGACGAGGGTGAGGGCGGGGTCCCTGCCCACGCACCGTAGCTGGCCCTCCTCGGTCGGGGACGGGAACGCCAGGAGCAGCAGGCCGATGTTGATGAGGACCTGGTTGGTTTCTGGGCAGACCTGGGGGCAGGGTGACAGCTATTGAGGGTGACCCCCAGATGGGGACACCCTGAGCCCACCCTGGGCCACACCTCGGCCCACCTCCAGGATGACGATGTCATAGTCGCTAAAGGAACAAAACTGGTGGCCCCAGGTGGCGTCGTGGCGGATGACCTCATTGATGACGTACTCAAAGTCCAGCGTGAGCTGCTCCACTGTCAGGTATTGACCCTGAGGCAACGGACAGAGGAGCAGGGGGACGACGGTGCCAACCACCACCCCAGCAGGCTCTCCAGGGCCGCCCCTCGGCCTGCCCGTCACTAGCACTCACCTGGACGGCGGCCCGTTTCCGCATGGGCCGCAGGTTGCGGCCACGGAGATCAGTCACCACAAAGGGCAGGGAGATCTTGTCATCCTCAAACTCTGAGGGGACAGGATGTGGGGCTAGGACGGCGGTGCGAAGCCTGGAGACCCCTTCCAGACCAGCTTCCCATGCCCTGGACCCTGCCTGGGCACGGGCTCCCCGCTCACCATCCTCTGGCTCCGTCCCCTCGCTGGACCCCAGCACGTAGTACAGCTTAGTGTAGTTAACATAGCCGGGCTCGGGGGCCGGTGCCTCTGCTGCCGGGGGGCTGTCCCGGGGCACTGCCTCCCGACCAGGGGCTGGAGGCTCAGAGGGCAGGCGGAGGCGGGTACCCGAGGGCCCCGGGCAGGGGGGCGGCCGGCTTTCCTCTGGGGTCCCGCCCTTGGCCTCTTTGGCCCTGCGGAAGATGTCGGCCACAAACTCCTTGGCCTTGGCGATGGCGGGCGAGGGCTCAGGGGCCCCAGAGGGCTGGGCGGGGGCCGCCTCAGGGCAGAGGCTGGGGCAGGCGGGGGGCGCCTCTGGGCTCCGGGGCCCAGGGGGGCTGGGAGGGGCTGGGGGGCAGGTGGAGTGGTCATACAGGATCTGGCAGAAGCTGCTATCACCTGGAAGGCAAAAAGCGATGGGGGGGTTCAGGTCAAGGCTGCTCTCCCCAACTCCCTCACTGCCCGAGGGGGTTCTTAGAAATTGACCTGGAGGAGACCCTTCTAGAAGACTACTTACGCTGAGAAATCAGTCTGAAACATCCAGAAAGGAAAAGAACCTTTTACACACGCGCGCACACACATTCCTTCAAATCCTACTCTCGAGCATCCTTTGTGTGGCACGCACACTGAGGACACAGATACATCCCTGCCCTCGGGGAGCCACAGCCGGCGGTGACAGCAGATAAGAGCCACGGCAGTTAAGTCTGAGACTACCACGCGGCCGGCTAGCCACCCCAACGCCAGCGGGACCCGCACGGGCACAGCCTGGAGTCTCCGTTGCTGCCTGACCAGGGGCCAGAGCCCCTTCGGGGAACGTGGGGTCAGAGGGAAACCTGTCTAAGGTCACACTGTGAGAGAAGGCGAGTCTGCCAACGCACTCCTGTCCACCGGAGTCGTGGCACCGTGGGGCAACGCCCCACTCTGTGGAATGCCCTCCTCCCATGGTGACGGGCGCGGGACATGCTGACGGGGCCCCTCCCCTGGGTGGGAGCCCAGGCTGAATCCTGTCTCACGTGGTCTTTCCCAATAGGATCACCGCCGAGAGGGTGGAGGCATCAGCCCATCCAGGCCTGGCGTGCTGTGCTGGGGGCGCCTGCTCGGCGAGGGGCAGGTGGCCAGCACAGGGGCGGGAGGGGCAAGTTCCCTCGGGCCCTGCTGGTTTACTGGCTACCTCACACACATTTAATCCTCTCTTCGTGCCCACTGCCTTCTCTCCCCCTGGGACAACCATTTTAATGTCATCAGTGAGTTTTTTTTTATTTGACGGGGGTTCTTGCAAACCTGAAACATCTTTATACCTAAGTGGGATCAGTATCTGGTTACACGTCTCCCGTGTTTCTCCCACACCCCTGTGTCTTTAAGGCGGGCTCTTGCACACGCAGGCGGGGGCTGTCCTACCTCCCCGCGCCCCAGGGATGGACACCAGGCGGTCCCCAGCTCCTGCCACCAGCCTTGGGCATGGCAGGCACAGGGCCGGGACACCCCACTGCCTGTAGCCCCAGGAGGGTGGAGGGCACCGCCTCACCACCAGCCAGCGCAGGATCCTAACACCCGCCGCTCTGTCGAGGGGCCTGCCTCGTGATTCTCAGGGGCATTTCTCCAAAGGTGCCAGTCGGGCTCTGTCCGCTCGCCACTCTCGGAATGTTTAATTAGCCTTTCCCCTTTTGTAGAGAAAGGACCACAGCGGTGTCCAGCATGGTAGCCGCTGGCCACACGTGGCTATTTAAGCTTAACACAACCAAAACTACATTAAAGAAAAACTCAGTTTCTCGCCTGCACAGGCCACTTTCAAGTGGCTACTGGCAGCAGTTGTAGTGGACACCGCAGACACGGAACACCCCAGCCCTGTGGAGGTTCTAGCGGACAGTGCTGGGATGGGGCATGGCCACGTGTGGATGCCACATTCCCACTTCCTGGCTGTGTGACCTTAGATGAAGGATGCCACCTCTCTGTGCCTTGGTCTCATCTGTAATGTGGGGCAGTGACGGCCGAGTGTGTGCGCGCTGGGCCTGTCAGCAGCCCCGGGCCTACCTGCCGAGTGGACGGAGACGGCGCAGGCCACCAGGGAGTAGCTGGTGTTGAGCAGCACCACCTGGTCCTTCTTGAGCTGGAAGGCGGGCTGGAAGGTGGGGAAGGGGTAGACCACCTGGTACTTGGTGTGCAGCATGAAGCCGTGGCGCAGGCACTGTGCGCTCGCGTCACCTGCGGCGACACAGCCACTTGGCTCACTCTCGGTCCAGGGCAGAGAGGACGCAGCCCGCGCCCCGCCCCAGCCCCTCACCTGGATGGGCTCGGCTGGCTTCCCGGCAGGCAGCGCAGCGGCCTGGTGGCGGCACCGCCACAGTGCTGATGTAGATGTCGCGGTGGTTCTCATCGCTCATCATCATCATGTTCATGAGCATCCCGTTGGCCGAGCGGGTGCTGGGGGCCGGCACACCCTCAGCTGCCTCGCCCGGGCCCCCGGCCTCCGGCCCCCACCCCCCTCGGCCTCCCTCAACCCCAGGTCTCACTTGAAACCGAAGACAATGACTTTGGAGGCATCGCTGGGCCATTCGCACACGGTCAGGTACAGGTCGCTATAGATCTCCTCGTCCTGGAAGAGCCGCACCTGCCGGACCTGCATGGCGCGGTCAGCGTCAGAGCGGGCCCGAGGCTGCACTGCGCTGGGCTGGGATCGGGGACAGGCCGAGCCGGCAGGGCTGTCCCCTCTGGTGGTGCCTCAGGCTAGGGAGCCCCAAGCAGCCCCCGCAGCCCCCTGCCTTCCTGGGAACAGCCTGCAGAGGCTCCCAAGTGTTTCTCACCACAAGTGGGGGAGACAGGGAGGCTGGGCCCGGGACAGGACGCAGCCAGGGGACTCACCAGCCGCGTGGCTTCCCAGCCCCATCCCCCGAAGCCATTCAGCTCTGAGTTCATGTGC